GGACCTGGGAAGTACAGCATATGGGTCATATCATTCTCTCAATATAAATATTAGAACAATATGAATAACCTGCATTTATACCTTAAATGAGTGACAGGACTTAAATATAGTGGAACAGATGTTATAACAGATTTGTCTGTACTGTACTTCTGTAGTTTGTCAGAATGACTGTCTTGTCCGTGCACAGACACCTGTCTGGTTTTCATTGCCCGTGTCCCTCCAGGAGTGACTCAAAATGCTGGAATTTATGATTACACTTGATTTTTGATATTTTATAGCACATAGAAAACTCACTGACCTTTTCTGTTTACTGCCTTAGTAATGCCACTGGTGTTGTTTAATGAACAATGGTTTCCCTCTTCAAACAGTGGTGGGTGACTGCAGTAGTAATCAGAGAGCAAGTTCTCTTGTGAGTACAGAGTGATGGAAACAAGAACAGCCTTTTTAATTGAGTATTCTGGCAGTGGACATTTTTAATTCAGCTGGCGCACTGAATAGAACATATTAGCTTGTCTTATAAAGCCCCTGTACTCTTTCAATAGCTATTGCCATATCTGTGATACCACAGAAATGAAAATCATTTTTGATGATCAAACACGGTGACTCAATTTATCTGGAACCTATTTGTTCAGCTACAAGTCCTAGTAAAGTTTTTTTTTGTAAAAATAGCTTTCTTCCTTGGATCAATACAAGCAATTGTATTCTGGATAGATGTACAATTGGAAATTGCCCTAACTGCAAGAGTGTTTGCTTGTCTTGACAAGAAATGTCTTTCTACCTAAAATTTCAGAAAAGCCTGTATTAAAAGTCTTATTAAGGATGATGAAGTTTACAGAAACACTTGTATTAAGGAAACTACTTTTTGCAAAAACAAAATAGCCAATAAAGTAAACGTTGGAGACTGTTTAACTTTTTTAGATAAAAATTCTAAGAGCCATATTCTAAAAACATGTGCTTGCCAGCACTCTACTGTGCTGTAAATTTGGTCAGTGTAATTAAGCAATGTTTTGGGGTCAAAATTACAACTTAACAATATTAACCTTAACAATGAACCAGTGAGAGGTGTCTGCACTAACAGACCCACCAATTCCAGAAAAATGAGTTCACACCTCTCTTTCTCTGTATCCTTTCCGCCCTTTCTTCATCTGCTTTGGTCTTCTTATCCTTTATGAATTTGTACATTTGATCCTGAGTAGCTGCATAAGCATTGCACTTTATGAAAACAATTATTCAAAAGCCAACATTTGAATCAATATTTTTTCCATGCGTCCTTTTAAGCTTCTGATATTAACCTGTCTGGGAGTTCAAGTAGTTCTAGCTTATCGACCCTTTGTAACAGCTTTGTTTTCATGCTACGTTCTGCTTAACCAATTAAACTAAAATGCACTGACTCAAGCAGTTTGTATGACTAATGGATTATTCCATTGTAGAAAGAAAGAGACTGCAAGATACTATAATAAAATAAAAAATAGAGGCAGGGAATGGGATTGGTTTCAGGGGATTAGTAAATTAGCTTGTGTGGTGATGTTAAGAGAAAGGGCTGTAAATAATTTCACAGTAAAACATATCCTTAAGGGAACAAGGCTTTGCTGAAATAAGACATTCATTTTCTTGTGTATATTGGCATCTGGATAAAGCTGTAATGATAGGCTTATAAAGTGTTCCTGTCCTACAGTTCTAAAGTCATTTCGACATTCAGTTAAGGTGATAGATTTTTTCCCTCTCCTTGAACTCAGCTGTTGTCTGATGTAGATGTTGTCTTTCAAATAGGTTTGTGTGGTACATAGGTACTTTTCTTTAATTCTTTTATCAGACAATTTACAGAGAGAGCTGCAAATTTCATGACAATATTTAATAGGATGCAGAGGGATATATTATGTACCATCTGGGTATTGCTAAAATTGCTTGCTAACATCTGTAAGTGGAGGGTTTTTAGGTAGGTTTAGTGTTTGCTTGTAATAAAAAATAAATATGACCTTGTTTAGGTCAAGTGGCCAAGATAAAAAATAAATGCAACTCCATTAAAGATAGCTCTAACATTTTGTTACAGAAGATTAAATAATGGTGTGTTGTTCTTGTAAACCTGTTCCCATGTGTGAGAAGTGGCCTAGTCCTTGCCCTAGTCCTGTGCAAGTGTGTCAAAACTGTCCAGTCAGTTCCGTCACATTGTTTCATCACTTATCTTCAATGAAACTGGGGTGATTCAAGTAGATCATTGCCATTTTCTGGACCAGAGGTCATCTGTGGGATTGATCCTGTAGAGTAATGATGGCATTTCTCACTCAGGAAACCAAGAGTATAAGAGTAGGTCACTGTTCTCTCAATTTGAAATGCAGTCATTACAGAAGCTTTAACAAGTGTACCTAAGTATTCGGGGATCTTATGCAGCTGTTCTGTGGCATTGAAATGAGATCATTCTCAATACCATGCAACAAAGATTTTACAGAGCTAAGCCAGTGAAGATCGAGAGTTGGCTCCTTTATGTTCTCTGGGTATGATTAATCATATCTCCATGCATTCGTATAGCTCTTTTCATCCGTGGGACAATGTTTTACGTATGTAGAAAGCGGCCCACTTCATCCACCACTGAAGTATGGGTCCAGCGGGGTGAAGCTCTGTAGCTAGTCTGAGCAGCATTCTCATTGCCCAGTGGATCAGGTGGAGAAGTGAGAAATTACTTCACAAAGTAAGCTAAGGTGGAAACATTGGAAGGTACGGTATATGTCTTTAATGACCACAAGTAGTTAGGGCTTCAGTTTAACATCTCTTTTAAAGGGCAGCCCCTCCTACAGCACAGTGTCCCCGGTTTCAATACTGGGTAATTGGTTTTGGGAATTCTGGTCATGAGGGAAGAGCTCCACCTACTGGTCCACTAGTACCACTTACAGCAGCAGCCTGGCTTTCCTTAGAGTACAATCCCAATACAGACTAGGCCCAGCCTTTCTTAATTTCTTATGCTTAAGCTTTTTTCCTGAATATACAAGTATGGGGCACAAGTTAGTCTGAACGGAAGAACCCAGGCCTCATAGACAAGGGGTCACTACCCCCAGTCTTGGAGATACCCAATCATAAGCCTCATGTCCAATCTTTTAGTCACCCTAAATCACCTGTTTCAAAAGGCTGGGAACACTTTGTAAGTTATTGATTAATTAAGCCCATCAGGTTAAGCAAACTCCTTGTGCTTTTAGTACCTTAGGGATAGACGTCTGTTCTAGAAGATTGCTGAATGACTTAATGGCTAATGACTTAATTACCTGCACAACTACCACAGTTGAATTGCTCCTCATTTGGATGATTTAATACCTTCTGGCCTGGGGAACCGGAACAGCAAGATTGGAAATACCACTCCTAGACTGTTCTTACAAGGCAAAATTAAGGTATTGCCTGTGGCACTCTTGGACAGTAATGTGAAAGTAGACATCTTTCTGGCAGGCGAAGAGGAATGAGACATCAGTGTGCAGGTTCCCCTCCCTTTGAATCAGACCTTGATAGAGGGCCATGATCAAGTAGATATTTGCGCCCATGAAAAGGCAGATTGCAGATGGATAAGAAGAAGATGAATTATAGCAGATGAGCCACTAGCATGTTGGTGTCCTAAGCCCTATTGTGGGCTCAGAGATGGATCTAGCTGGATTTGATGATTCATAGAAACTCACCTTCTAGATGCGTTTCTAGAATTCAGGATGAATGTCACAAGAAGTAGTGCTGTCCACTACTGTCCAGAGCACTCAGGGCCTAGGCAATATTCACAGTGATCATAGAGGTTGGCCTGAGAACTGTAAGTTACAATGGGGTGTTGTGTGCACTCCCGTTGATCTTAGCAACATGTTCCTAATGGTTCCATGTGTCAGTTGCTAAGTTCAATTGCTTTAAGGTGCAAAGCTGTTTGAAGAATAAAATTAACATATGCAGTAGACTGTGTATGACTTTAATACCTGATGTATGCAGGTTAAAAGCAGTGATTACAATTGTGATATTTAAAAATACATTTTTGGAAATATTGTGTGACATTTTGGACTGAGTGCACATTATTTGACCAAAGCTCTCACTAAGCTGCAGTAATGGCAACATCCTTATTATATAACCTTCAGAACTGTAACACAACGGAAATTTGAATCATAGACTTTGAGAGATGTCTTTGCTGCCACTTGAGTGGCTGGAAACTGTCAGTCATTCTTGCTGTAATCACAGCAGTTTTCTTTTTAAATAGTAATAATAATTCTTGCTATAATACTTTTTGTTTTTGAAGAGGACTTATGTTCTACTTAATAATGAAATAATCTGATAATTAAGCAGTAATTGACTGTGACAATTCATCAGTTTGCAAACCCTGTCAGTCACCATATGCTCTTTAATTAGTCACCTGCCATGATGCCATCAAGTGACTTCCCAAGGTAAGAACAGCTGGTCTCACTGAAAGGACCAGTGTAGATCAAGTTTGCATTGCTTGCATTTCTACAGCACTTTAAATCCCAAGGGATCCCAAAGTATTTTACATATAGGAGACCCCCTTTATCCAGTAAAGCAGAGCTCCACCTGGGTATCGTCTGAGTATTGCCAGTTTGTGCCAGCATCCCCACTACACAGCAGTTCAAGTAGAGAAGTACAGCACAGAAGCAGTTCCACTTGGAACACTGGTTAAAAAACTAACAACCTCTGTGTGGTATACTGGAGAGTAACAGCTTAGGTGTTGCAAATACTTTTTAATGTTTTCTTTATTGCCTGCAGCCTTGTAAGTTTTAATAGTGTTTGATTGCATGTTGATCTTAAAGGTCATATTTTTCTTCTAGATAAAAGCATCAATGCAAATTTAATGCATAATTTAGTGTTGATAGTCCTGAATTTAAAAGGTGTCTTGTGCAGTCCCTAAAGTAAAGGGTTAAACCATTCAATAATTTTAGTTTGACATCCAAGACAGTATTTATTTAAGGCTTTCTATATGCTTGTCAACTCATCTCCAAGCTAGAGTTCATTTCTGTGTGTCTGTCTTCCATCTCCAGTTTGTTTTCTGCCGCGACTGTAAGGAAGCATACCATGATGGGGACTGCAGGGTCTCTCTGCTGAGAGAAAGAGACTCTACACTGCAGGTAGGACAGCCTTTTGTATTTTTCTATCTCCAACGTCTGTCAGTCAGACCCCTCCCCCCAAAGCCGTTTTATTACAGTCTCGGTCTCAGAGTAAAACACTGCTCTACTGCTCCCTGAACCTCCCCCACTGGCTGCCTCTTCCACGTGGAGGCTGACTATAAAGGACAGTGGGAGCACTGCTGGCAGAGTGGGTGAATCATCATCTTACACCTGCTAGCGTTCTACAGGGACCTGACATCTGGACCGAGCAAACACCAATTTAGCTTGATTCTGTAATTCCTTTTTTATTATGTTATTCTACAGCACATGAGTATTGTATGTTTATCTGGGTACTCCTTTTTACCTTGAATATAACATTTCTTATTTTCATGGGAAATTAATTTTTTTGTAATGCAAAACAAGACAAAAAATCTTTGTCTCCTGTTAACAATAAAAAGTCCTCATGTATACTTTGTCTGGCTAGGCCACATAATCATGAGTTTTGTAATAATCCTATAACATACTGTGCACCTCTGAGACATTTTCAGTAGTTTCGGAGAGTGGGAAGTAGGACTTGTAGGGATTCCCCTGGAAATAGAGGCCTAGAGCTATAAATGGGTTATCATGCCTTGTGGTTCATTGCTGAAGAGCAAAAACTCCAGACTTGTGTATTATATAGTAAAAGCTGTTTTGGAATGTGATTCAGTAAAAGTGTGAAGTGTCTTTGACTGTATTTAGTATCCTGTGAGAGCTCCTCAGACCTCCTGAAAGGAAAACTGATATTAAAGTCCTCTAACCTTTCCTGGCCTTTTGGAGCTTCTCAACAGACTGACATATTAAGTGTTCTTTATTGCTCAATACAGTGTTGTTTGTGTAATGTGAATTACAACGCTGATGCCACTCTGTTGCTCAATGTCCCTGGGCTGTGCAGTGCCCATATTTCACAGGCACATATTGCCTGTGGAAAAAAAGCCAAGGAATTGCAAACACTGTTTCTTGTTGTTTGGCACACACTTCAAGAGACGGCGAGGGATTTTAAATTAGCAGAGCTGGGTATGAACTCAGCTAGTGTCTCCTTGTTATGAAAATATACTGAACTGTTGGAAGGCAGTGTTGAAACCTGAGATTGTTAGCTGTTTGAATTGTTTTTGTGATTATGACTTTTATTACTATATATTACTATCTTACTTAAAATTTTTGTTGTGGTTTTGTAGGATTTCCTACAAATTACAGGTGTACTGAAGCTTAATATCCCCCAACTCTTAATTCATACTCCAGCTTTTCTTTTTAACTTAAAACATGGTTGTATTGAAGTAAGAATAGAAATGGTAGAGTACAGTACCTGCAGTGTTTCAATACCTGCACTCCTTATATCCAACACATTTAAGTCTGATTCTGTGATTTTAATAATGGATCCCCTTTGCAGCAGGGCTAAAATGTCAACCCTGATCAGATCTTAACATGGGTGTCCTTAAAAGGATGACATTTAAAAATAACCTTTTGTGAAAACTTAATACACAATTATGAATAAATTAGGAATAGGAAAGTAATACTTGTCACATGTTACACTTTCAAGAGTCAAGACTGCAGTTGCGAAATATACCACAGGATGGCACTTTGTACACAATTTTGTCTTGATGAAAAGCAGTACAGGAGAAAAACAACATAACATTAATCTAAGGTTTATGATGATATGGAAGAATTATGGTAAGCCGTGCCAATTCACAGCTTAAAGGTCCTGGGTTCGAGATCAGAGAGGGGCCTGTTTTGTGTGCAGCTTGCTTGTTCATTTCCATTTCCTTGTGCTTTTTTGTCTGGGAAGCCGCTTATCTTTGGGACATGTTGATAGCTGATTGGTTCAGCGACAAGCAGGAGCAGGTTACTTGCTCTGTCAATCAGCTCTGTCTGGAATGCAGATCCCACTACAGCTGAGAAGAAGTACACCCCAGATTTCATATTTGATGAGTAGGCAAAGACTTCATTTTTAGGCACAAAGTATTACAGAGCACAGACCCAGGAGAGAGCCACAGACCTGTTTCTTCTCCGGCTCCACACAGAGATTCTCTGGCTGTCCGCAGGGTTACATCATTGATGAGGAGGCTGCACGGCAGGCCAGGTGGGAACAGGCATCACAGGAAACCATCGAGAAGACCACCAAGCCCTGCCCCAAGTGTCAGGTACCTGTGGAGAAGAATGGTACGTGTTCTCACCCGACATCATCAACTCTAGGAACTTCTCAGTAATTTCCCTGTATTTCAGGAATGTAAGTGCTAAAATAATGATGAAAGATTAATTTTGTTTAATACTTTATATGAATAGTGTCCAGACTATTCCAAATGTGGCTAAAGTCACCGACTTTTTAAATAAACAAGAAAACTTTTAATTAATGACTAAATAAAGGTTATTTTCACAAAATGATTCAAAGCAGGTGGTGCAGTGACTATGGTTAGGACTGCTGTCTCTCAGGGTCGTTGCCCTGGTTTCAGCTTCTGGGGAGCTATCTGTATGGGGTTTGGATGTTTGTATGAACTCCCCATGTTCATGGGGGTTTCCTCCCACAGTCCAAAGACGTGCTGGGAGGTTAATTGGCTTCTGGGAAAACTGGCCCTGGTGTGAGTGTGAGTGTGTGTGTCAGGGTCTGAACTGTGTTGGCCTGGCATTCTGTCCAGGTTGTACCCTGCCTTTCACCACTGCTTGCTGGGATGGACCCTGGCTCCCCCTGTGACCTTGTATTGGATAAAGCGGTTGGAAAATGGATGGATAATTCAAGCTGAAGCAACACGGAGATGTGAATAACGATTGCTGTTATCGTTAACATCTGTTATCGTTATCGATTGGAAGAATAAAAGCTCTGAGAACAGGCAGCACTTTTTTTGCTAAACCAGTAATAATATAGCTAATCACTGGGTCCTGTGTGTGTGTGTTGCTGTCCTGCAGGAGGCTGTATGCACATGGCGTGTCCAAGGCCGGTGTGCAGGTTCGAGTGGTGCTGGCTGTGTGGGGTGGAGTGGAACAGAGACTGCATGGGCAACCACTGGTTTGGCTGAACACACACCGTCCAGGCCTCAGGAATATCTGCAGGAGTGGTGCAGCCCCTCCAAACTCTGAAGTACACTGTTCACATACAGTAGTTTGCAATATGATTGTATGATTGTAGATTTGCAATTGCAATCTCCATTTATTGAAAATGTAAAATGAAATCTAATGAAGTTAATTGGCCTATTTGAATGGTTGTTGGTTTTTTAATGAAAACTGTAGTGGGTATTGAATACAAAAACACTGGCAAATTCAAGTTGCCATAGATAACATCAATACACACCACAGGGTACAATATCAGGTATTATCAACATGATTTTACACCCCAACGTCGAGCTGTGATGCACACTGATATGTTACTATGCTTCAATGTTTGCTGTCATCTCCATAGTAAAATGTTTCCCTAGGTGTTGTTTGTATGTACCAGGGTTCACTATGACACAGTGCACGGTTTTTGTGATAGGGTTGTTAGAATGTTAGATATGTTTTCCAGCATTTTATAATGTTACAGTACCATAGACCCATTAACTTTATTATTGTACCGTATTTATTTTATGAGGGTTATTTACTGGAAAGGGTAACTTTTCAATGCTGTGGTAAGTTAATTTCAAAATAAGTCTCTTACTATTACAAATTACTTTAGTAAGGTATTTCTTTTTAAATGAATAACTTGTGGGTTATTGGTTTTAAGATGTATTGGGTCACATAGTAAACGTATACCCAGTATATACTGTAGATCAAAGGATTTTTAAAACATCTTATGAGTTTCAAAAACCAATTCCTTACACAAGTATCTTCTAATTGTAATGGATTACTTTTTTGAAAGGACGCCACATTGATTATTTCTCAGGTCAGATTTGCATAACATTTTCATCAACATCACATTACTTTTTTCAGTGCAAATGTCTAATATATTTGTGTAATTATAGCTATAAAAAATAAACTTTTTAAAAAATGGACAGGAGTGTTTCTTAATTGTTTTGACCTTTGGTATTTGAAACAGTGTCAGGTTTATGGCTGGGTGGTTTGATCTGCTGAGCCCCTTGTGGGCCAGTAAAGGGAGGATGATCGTGACCTGATTTACTCAGCTCACCTTCTCCTCCTATTCCCTTGTATGGTATGGTCATTACAATGTGTTGCTGGCAAATGTTAATCAGGGCCAAATAATCTGCCTTTTTATTCCATTATTGTTGTCTAAATCTTTTATACTTTTTTTTGCCATAACCAAATTTTAAACTTTAGATGAAGGCCACTAAATCAAATATACTGTATATCCTGTAGATATCTCCGGCTGGAAGAATTCTTATTAATTTGTCACTGAAGTCACAATATGGATGTTCATGTGGTGCTTCTGTTTGCTTCATCGGACACTTCATTCCTCAAATCAAGAGAAACCCATAGTTAAACATTAAGAGGTAACATTGCAAGACTGACTCCTTTTATTACTTGTTGCTCAGGGAAGGGGAGATGAATATCAGCTCCAGGCAACCATTCTAATTGCACACTGCACTTATCTACACTATCCCACCTCAACTCGTTCAGTGTGCTTTTGTATGCTGTATATGAGGTGGGGATGAAATATATTTGGACAAACTTCTTTCACGTTTTAGTCCTAGGGTAAGCTATTTGATTCATTTACAGAGCACCAGGAGCATTTCCAGATTCAGGCTAGTTTTTTTCTTTTGGCTCGGTATTTACTAAGTGTAACTGCCGGCTATTGCGAAGGGATTTGTGCAGAAACATGGTGAAGCCTAATCAAGTGCGTCCCACAGCCTTCGATATGAGTGAAGTGGGTCCCAGCCAGGTGAGAGAAAGCTGTTTACTTGTTTCAGAACTGCAGCCATGACCGGCAACAGAGTGGCAAATACTGTTCGAATTTTTCTGGTGAGAGTAGGGTTTTCCAAATGATTTTAGTGGTTTGAAAGAAAGAGAACAAATAAAAAATGCTGTATGTGCATTATTTTGTATTTATGTAATGCCTGATCGTTTCATTAGCTTCTATGTTCAATTATGAAACACTTTCAATGCACATAAACCCAAAAGACCTTGAATTTAATAACAGTCCCTTTCACACTTTATCCCAAATTACAGCTCAAGCTTCTATTTTATAGCAATAGTGAAGGGCACTTTGTCTTCTCTGCCTCAGTTCTGTATGTACCATTACTGTATGTGTTGGTGAACCTTTTGCAAAATGACAGATTTACAGGCCATGTTGCAGGCTGATTTCTGAAGGTACCTGGAGGATAGTAAAGCAGAAGTGGAGGAGCCTTTCCTCCTGAATCCAAGATGGACTGGAATGTATTCTGTTAAACCCATTTTGAAACAAATGTCTTCAGTCACGTAGAATCTGACTATGAGCCTGTTATGCTTCTCTTAAATGAAGCAATGAAAAGGCAGTGTTGGATTCCTCTTTAAAGGCAGAGGGGCAGTCGATTGGCCCCCAGGTGCCCATGGCTTCAGTGGCCAGTACTCTAAGGGCTGCAAAGAAGTGGACATCATGTGACTGCAGCCGTAAGAACAGATCCAACCTTCTCTGTGTCCGGAAACCTCTAACAGGTAATTAAGATCTGAGCTGAAGCTTAAATGAAAATTCTGGAAACTAAGATTTCTGTATTAGGGGATATATATAAAATCAGTTGTTTTAATCTAACAACTGTTGTAAAAAGTGTGTACTATGAAACAATGACCAATGGTATTCGTACAAATATTACTATGGTGAACATATTCTCATACTGTAGATGCAGACATAACAGGAGGATATTAGTGTCTCAGAGGACTCTAATATTATCAGTGTCCACCGCAGGATGCATATAAACCATCAGGAACAGATATAGTTGTCACACTGAGTTGATATAGCACATTCTGCTGCGACGTTGTCCAAAGCCATTTGTTGCCCCTGGTTGCAAGTACTGTACTTGATGGTAGTAGAAACTGTAAAGGAAATTCAAAAAGATGTTTCAAGACTGCACAAACATCTGGCAGGTAATATTTAATGTGGACAAGTGAACAGTCTACTGTATTATCATGTAGAAAAAAAGCATAGAAGGTGAATAACACAAAGCTTGAAGAAGCAAGCTTAAGTATGCTACATCATTTACATTTTCTAGCCAATGTGGGAAATAAATAAACCAGGTAAACAGAATTTTAGAATATATAGTAAAAAGTGTAAGCATAACGTATACTTGAACAGATGTTAGGACCAGCATATCACAAATTGAGGTTGCTTTAACCTCAGTCTCAAAGACATTTTCATATTTTCACAGGAATCTCAAGAGTTGCATTTGGCATTTGAAACTCAGATACTTTTTAGCTGCAAAATAAAACAGGTTTCACCGTGATGCTGATAAGTTAGCATGTTTTTCACATTTTAATTCACTTCAAGGGAAGCCAGCAGAGAGCCCCTACCAGGGCTTGGCAGAGGATATTGATATCATTGATGGCAAGAACAGGACAGAGGCCCTAAATAAAGAGTTATTGGATCATTTCAGAACGCTTGCTGCAAGCAACATGGACACTGACCAGGTGAAGATGGTATTTTGTCTTTTTTTTTTTGTTTCACAAAACTAACAAGGTTACTTTACAAACTGTGCATTCTACTGATTCAGGATATGTCTAAGAACAGCAAATACCATTAAGTCCCATTGAGGCCTTAAAGAGAGCTGGAGCAGGGCAAGGTGACATTGCAAAACCACTCTAGGTGACAAGAGTCCCAGAACAAGCTACCAAAGCTGTATGGCATTGTCACAACAATTCTGCCACCAACTTTATTCATCCAGAAGATGTGAGAATTAGAATTGTGTGTCTCTATATGTTTTGTGTAATTCTAGGTTGACCTTCAATTTCTGGAGAGTTTAATTACTGATGGTGCTGATGTCAATACAGCAGATAAATATGGGCAAACAGCACTGCATGAGGTAGGAGACACAATCGAGTCATTTTTTTTCGATATGTTTCCTAATATTTATTTTGCAGAATAAATTGATTTCCTCGACGCCACTTTTTTTCTGGCATTGAACAGAATAGCAGCAATCTATTTTCCATATTTCAACAGGTAACTTAGATTTCTACTTGCTTAACTTATAATAGAATCACAGTTTATGTTTTGAGCATAATTTAACCAGATATTCCGGTCCCTGTTACACATATACACTTTGAATGGTTAATTAAATTTGTAATATTGTGGCATTTTACAGTTGTTGATTACAATTATACTGAAATACATAAAAATACAACAAATTAAAACTTTAGTAAATAGCTTTTGTTGTTTTTGATGCCTCTCAGTATATACAGCATGTCCACAGTGTATCTGATTTTGCATTCCAGTCTCTGCCTCAATTTAAGAGAGTATTTGTACTGAGTTGCTAACGGTTGCCTTTTGTATTACACTGATGTTGTTTATGGTCCAGATCTCCCGGGCATGGAATGTCAATGTCATGAAATTCTTCTTGGAGAAGGGAGCAGATATTCATCATGCTGATTCATATGGAGTAACACCACTGCATGTAGCAGCTGCACTGGACTATGAAGAAATGGTTGAGCTTCTAATTGAGAGGAAAGGTAAACGACAACAGCCAGTCTGATTGGCCCTGTCCTAAGAAATCATTACCAATAAATCATTAGATTTTTGCAATGTCCCCTTATTCTGCTTGACATCCCTTAGAAACATTTGCAAAGGTCCTGACCCTGTGAAAATACTAAATAACTAGGTGTCTGGTCAAGAGACAGCTTGGACATGTTCCTCAACTGAAATTTGGTTTGATGGCATCCATGAAGCTGATTTTGTCTATGCAGTGGACACTGATCCATCACACGTTGTGTAACCGTTCAGTTCTTCATTCGTTTGTTTAATGAAGCCAGTCTTGGAGCCAGAACCGTCAGAGACCTGCAGACTCCCCTGCACTTTGCTGCCAAGAATGACGCTGTAGGAGCTCTAAAAATCCTCCTCAAACATGGAGCAGACATCAGCTCCCGCGACTACAAACAGAGGACCCCGCTCCAGCTCGCAGCAAACCTAGGTAGTGTTCCGAGAGGGCTGGGTGGGGCAAGATGCTTGAGTTGGCTCCGCACGCGGTGGGTATCGCCTTGCTGCTCATCTCCCCCGTCCGGTGTGCCTGCGTGCACGCGTGCTCTCGTCCGCAGATCGCAGCGAGGCAGCCCGGGCATTGATGGAACTGGGGGCTGACGCTGGGGTGCGAGACGATGATGGGCAGCTCTGTATCACAGCCATGATTGGCCGGATGGCTCCTGTGGTGAGTGGAAGGTCCAAACAGAGGAATCAAAAGGAGGCCTCACTGGTTAAAATAATATTCTGGGTTTTGAAATAATAGCAGAAAATAATGCATGACTCTTGATGTGCCACCTTTAGGATTTTGAGCTTTCCACAAGACTGTATTGACCCATCTGAAATTCTGCCACAGTTTAACTGTTGCTTTCTTTATTCAGGATGTATACCCCAATAATGGTCCCTGCGATCTGGGCTTACATATGTTACTATTAGAACGCTGAATTAAAGCATCCTTGAGTTTTGGTATTTAGTGACATCTCCAGCGTGTGTCAATGGCTGTGTGTGTGTTTTTCCCAGGCTCGTTTGGCACTGAATCAGTTCCATGTGAAGGACCGTGTGACTCGACAGCAGTTTTATTATCTCAACCTGGTGGAACCACAGGCTCCCAGCAAGACGGGTCAACATGCCAAGAGTAAATTCTCACTTTCTGATGTTTATTTCATATGGTCTGTAAAGACACATGTGAAACTAAGTCAAAGAGTTGTATTAAATGACACATTTGGCTTATTATCTCCTGTACAGGCTTTCACAGCCCATTAATCTTTTCTCATCTTTCAACATTCTCATGCATTCTCATTTAAAAGCAAAAGAATAATTTAATGAATGTGTTAATTTGAGGACACATACAGGGTGCCATGCCACCTTCAATATAACAGTATAAGTGCTGCTGGAAAATATCAAGTTCAGGATAGGCTTTCACAGACTTTCAAGTGTGCTTCACCATACCTATTATACAGTATTTCATGGAATGGCTACATGAACTAGCTTGGATGCCTTTGAGAAGCTGCTGAACAAAATGATCACAATCATTTTCACTTTATTATTTCTTTCTTTGTGGCTTTTTGAAGTAACTTGTTCAGCACATGATCTTTTAACTTCACATTCATCATTCTACTTCTAGACTTCTTTGCTAGATCAAGTGTCCTAGGTCAATTTCTGATGAGATCTTCTGTATCGATACTCTTGTCACATAGTGTTGTGGCAGCATGACTTACTAATCACTCAACTGTGCTTGCCCGTTCTCCTGAATGGCCACTTGTTTATGTCCTAGGTGCCTGCATAATGCATACTTAATACTACACTCTATTCCACACCTAACTTAGGTATTTAGCATGCCCTTGTCATGCATATTATTAGTTAAGTGAGTAGAGTGACAATTAATGAAGATATATATTGTGGCTTGCCTGTATAGTGTGGACATTCTGTTCTTTTATTGCCTTTATTACACCTAGGACACAAATATTGTATAAGTATTCAAATTAATGAAGATGAATGTATGTTCCCCTTAGATATGCAGAGCTAACAGGGATGGCTTCTGGATGCAACAAAAACTTTCTGAAAGTTTTTATGTTGTTTTTCAGAATGCAAGGAGAATGAACCCACATCTCCGGTATGCATTTTTCAGTTGAAATATTAAATTCTGATCCAAAGAATACAAAAGTGGGAGAATCGTGATAAATCTGTGTTTTTATACCTGTAGATAGTGCAATGGCTCTTCTTTTCTGCTGCTGTATTCTTTGCAGCTGGAGGTTATAGTGAAACAGGGGAAGCTAGACCTCATCATGCACCCTGTCATCCTGAAACTTATTAAAGTGAAGTGGAATCTTTATGGGAGGTACTGTATTATTGTGTCATTGCATTTAGTAATGTTTTTCCACCAACATTTATATTATTGTTATTTCTCCTAAAGAAGTTATCTTTATTCTTCTAGAATTTTAATTCACAGTTTGTGACAAAAGTACCATCTGAAAAATGGACAATTTTCTCTATAGAGTATTTTCATGTTATCCTTCGCTCTAGTACTCCAAAGCATGGCTGTAAAAAATAATTGAAAATTATTCAATAAGACACATACTGTAGGGTAGGATGAAGAATCAGTAATTGGTGAGACACTCAGTTGCCTTTTTTAATAAACTTACAGTATGTAGTGCCTTTAAAAACATCTTCTCAAAGTGCTTTACAGGAAAACGTAACAAAAAACAGTAAAAGGAGAAAATAGCAATAAAGAAAGGAGGTAACAGAATTACCCTAAAGCAACAGAAGGGTTAAGAATGCACTAGAAGATGCAAAGGGGCAGATACAGACATGAATTAAAGCCTTTCTAAAGAAAATATATATTGTCTTTCTTCTTCCCTCTCTCTGTTTCCTCTTTCTTCACACAGACTAGGGGCCTGGATCCTGCTGCTTCTGAATTTCCTCTTCATTTTGTCCTGGACAATCGTCGCCATCTCTGTGGCGCTCATCAGGCCTGAAGAATTGCCCTATGCCTTTCCCGGGGTCAGGCAAAAAATGATGTTTCACTGTCCTGTTGCACTTCTGTTTGGGCAACAGCACCAAAGAGTAGCTCCTAATGTCAACAGCAATGCAGTTTCCAGCATTAATATCATGAAAATTAAGATGTTGTGAAAGGAATATGTAATTAGATCATGTAAAGATTTATCATCTGGAGAATCAAAGATCTCTCCAAAGCGATAGTTCCCCATTTCACCTCTAACAGCCACGGTCTTGCTGATCTCTTCGTCTGTGTCTTCACAGAGGGTTCACAGAACTCCTACTGCAGAAAGCAAAACTAAAATTATCCTGAAACCTAGATCACACCTTCTCCCTTCTCTCAACAACAGACTCGTTTCCTCTCTATTCATGTGCACAATTTGGCTTTCCACCCCTCTCCTCCCGCTCTCCCTGAGTGTGGACACTCATTCTCACCCTGCTCTCCACTCCTTCTTAAATAATCTGTTTTTTGTTTTCCTAATGCTTTATCTATCTGCTAGTTTCCCTCATACCTGAAGAAACTCCACAGCCAAAAAATGCTCTTTTCTTTTCCTGTCAGCATGATCTACAGCTTTACCTGTTCCTTTGCAGCCTATGCATGCTGACACAGCTCCCTGCTCAAAAACTGTATGTAATTGTACTTCTAGATATGACACTTGTTCTTCAAAAAGCCTCATTGTGCCATTTAAAATGTTAAAATTGAGTGTATCAGAGCATCACAAAATCAGAAAGCCATATTAAATACTTTCGTTCTCCTAAGCAGCTGTGGCACAGAAGTAGTGCATGTGTGTGCCTTGCAGTCAAGGAAACGTCTGGGATTGTCTTGCTTTGTGAAGCAAGTAAGAATGCCCCCCTCCCCCCGCTCCCCCCGCTACCACTGCCAAATGCAGCCCTAGGGGCAGCTCTTTAACTCGTGAGTTTTGCTGGCAGGACTGGTGGAGGGTGCTGGTGATTGTGGTGGCCATTGTGCTCACCGTGTTGGAGGTGTGTCAGGAGCTGGCTGAGATGGCGCGCTCCCGCGGGAAGATGAGCCGCTGGCAGGCCTGGTATCGGGACCGGATCACTGCAGACAAGCGGTGCTTGCAACCCATGTGGCCAGAGGTACAGCCAGCCCTGCCTTCCACAGAAACAGTGCTGGGCCGCAGGACATACAGTTACTGCGGGACAAGCATACATTCACCTACCTCTCCTCACTGGTAGAAAACTGTTAAGATAAAATAGTGCCTTCAGAATTGACTCTGAAGACAGAAGCTTAATTTACGGCCCTATAAATTACATATAAATGGATAATAAGCATTGTACTTAGAACTATGGATTAAAGGAACATTCGTAAATTTTACCTCATAAATGTGAGTTATGTTCATGTCATTAAAATTCATAGCTATGAAGGGCATTTATCTATTAGCCATTGAAATATAGAGTTATTAAACAATTTAACTAAAATTGTTGTCTTTCCTAAGGAAAGATATTTTTTAGAAGAGCAGTTGAAAGCCATTCTGAAGATGAGACCTAACTACTTTCAGGATTTGTGGTAACTATCTGTAAAAATTGCACACTGTGTGTTTAGGGTCAGTTGATCTTTCATGTGGTCCTGCTCCACTCAGTTAAACAAAAGTTAAATATTGATGTAGCCGTTGCTGTCAGCTAAACAACTTAATTTATTAAAAAATGGGGGGGCTGCCACTATATATGCCTTCTGATTGATTTACTGTGTCTTTGCAATAATGTTTTGATTTTCTGCTGTATTAATAAGCATATACTGTATTTGATTGTTATATTAACTGGGATGTGTTTGATTGGACAGTGTGTTTATAAGGTACATTTGATTGGATGGTATACTTCTAGCACTGTTTTTTATTGGCTGTGGTACTGTATTTCTAGGAACGTGTTTGATTGGCTGGTGTACTTGCTTCTGATGGTGGTGTTTGGAATCCATGTGGCAGACATCTTCATCAACAACGTCAGCCTGCGGGTGAACAGCCTTCGTGTCTTCGCTGTCACCCTTATCTTCCTCTGGCTGCGTCTGATGAAGCATGTCAGGGCTTTCAGGTACCCAGAAATAAGCCTTGACATCATCAGAGGTCTGCACTATTTGACTGAGTAATTAAGAAACCCGTCTCAGAATGGAATAAAACGTATAATATTAAGGAAATTAAATTCTATATTTTTCTCATAATAGAATCAGTTTAAAAGGTCTACCCTATAAAAGTACTGTAGTCTACTTATAGCTACTTATACAGTATTACAAACTATGTGTTCATAAACATAAAGGTACTTCTCCTCTTAAGTGTGCTAATTCTTTCCAAAACTAGTTTATTTTCTGGGGGGTGTGAAGGAGTGGAAGGGATACTTGTTAGGTCGTGTCATCCAGCCTATCTAGTGTAATTGGCTTTAAGTAGCTGATTTATCCGAGATTGTTATCCAACCACTTCATGAAAGAGCCAGTGCTAGATAGCTCTCACCACCCCTAGTTTCAAGAAGTTGCTCCCATTTTCCATTGCACTTTTTCTTTGTTTCCATGTTATAGCCTGTAGTTTAAGTATCACTGTTGATTCCAAGGAAGTCCATAGGATTGATTGGGCCAATGCACTTTTGAATACTTGTGGAACTGTTTAACAAAGATACTGCTGACATGTTGCTTTTGTGGCAGGGTTATGGGACCCTTCATTGTGATGCTGGGGAAGATTGTAGGAGATGTTTTTCGCTTCCTCTTCCTCTATGCAGAGTTCTATGTTCCCTATGCATGTGCCTTCTGGATTATATTTGGGGGTAATTGAAATACATTTTCCTGAATCTGCTCTTTGACATCTACAGTATCTGTAAGACACGGTTTTGATTTTCATCTTAGAATGTGTAAAATTAACAGATAAGCTGAGTAGGGTTAAGCAACCTGAAATTTCATTTCTGAAGGGTAAATGTTTATAAAAACTGTATTGTGCAGCACTCAGTTCTAATGAGAAGACAAGCCTCCATATCATCCCTGATATCTTGTTGCTTCACTTCATCCCAGGGACAGCTACAATCCCTAGCATGGAGACGGTCCCCAAACTGCTTTATAGTCTATACAGGATAACACTGGTGGATGACTATGAGTTTGAAGCGATGGTCAGTGTCGACCCCATCATGGCCTACCTGTTGTGTGGAACCTTCCTGGGACTGTCTGCCATCTTGTGTGTCAACCTGCTGATCGCACTGCTATCTGAAACCTTCCAGAGGTACATCTGCACACATGTGCATGGTGTTGATGTGCTGATGTGCACATCACTATGAAAGAGGGGAATACTCATGTGGCAGCTCGTAAGCATTATTCAGATATTACCAGATGTCATGAAGAACGACAATATTTTAAACACTGTGCCATAACTTTGTGGTATTCTGCATCTTCCATATAATATTACTAAATGTATATTTTTAGACTTAGAACTAGACTTCTTCATTTCTGATCAGAACTGTTCTTAAGTACCAGTAAAGATGTTTGTTTGGTGCTCAAGCTGAGCTCAACTAGACTCAGTGTGGGTCATGTCGCTATCCACACAACAGCTGTGACCAGTATTGCAGTCACACATAATTGGTGGAATGCTGTCAAGGAAGGATTGAGAGTACAACAGTATGTTTGCAGTTCCTTGGTAGATGCTTGCAAGCTTGCAGTTCACATCAGCTGCTCTGGAGCTGGCAACATGTTAGAAGCTCAGCAAATGAGCATATTGAAAAAGAATATCCATTTGTCTTATTCTATCCTGAGAAGGTATGGGGGTCTTAATGTGATGTTTCCAAAATGAGTGGGTATACTGTATATGAAAATCACAGATGATTCTAAATATAACTTTTAATTATATGTTTCTGGGAGTCTCAGGACAGTTAATCATTGTATCTAGGTGAAGTAATGCTTTATTTATGGTAAGTATGATTGCTAACAGCTCTGAATCGCACCTCTAGTAATCTGACCTTTCTCTCAGGGTGTATGACAATGCCACTGCCAATGCAGTGATGCAGCAGGCCTCCATCATCCTGCTGGTGGAAGACTCCATGCCCTGCCTGATACGTTTTTATGACCCTGATCACATCCACAAGCACTGCGCCCCCCTTGTAGAGTTCTGCGATGATGACATCACCACCAACAAGGATGACGATGCAGAGATGAAGAAAGTCACAGTGCAGATTAAGGTGGCGTGAAAAGTTTTAAACAGAAATCATGTGTCTTATTGTACAGTCAAAGAGTACACATTATATGCACTCTACTTCAAATCTTCAATGAAAGTACTGTATATTAACAAAAACAAATTGTTACATTTGACCAATGAGTTCATTAGTGAGGCACAACTATTCAGCTTTTAAGTCATTGTCTTTAAGCAGTCTTTATACACATCTTTTAATGATTCAGCATAGTAAATGCAAACTTCTAAATGCTTGTGACCAAGTAAAGCTCTTTGGCACTTTTATTAAAGTTGTCATTGGTAAAAGTTAGAATGAATCCACTGGTAAGTTCCTCTTTTGCATTTTTTAAATTGATTTGGTCTTAACAGGAAGCGCTGGATGACTTCCTTGAGAGTAAGAGAGATGGATCCAAACCTGATGATGAGACTACAAATACCACTGAGGGAGCACAAAACATAAGGTTTGTATTTAGGAAATGTTTATTTGATTAAGTTCCACTTTGCTGATATGTATTGCTTAATTTTTTTTTATTCTTCTGATTCCATTTTAAATTTATTGAGGTTAGCTAAAAAGCATTATAAATGTCAGAAATCAGTTGTGCCTAAATGAGTCAGCATGCGAAAATTGCTATTCCAAATGCAGAGCAATCAGTACTCTGCAGCACACATCACTGGTTGGAGCCCAGATGATGTCAGTAACACAGGCTTGGATTCCCCAAGTGCAGGAGCAAAAATGACCATGCATTGCCATGGGTTGATGGGCTTGATTTGGTGATATTTCCTTAGCAAGTTGTATAAGAGGGACTTACATTTTCAATTATTGCAGTAAGAGATGCTCCACTTCTCCAGTTGGTGCCTGCTATTCTGTATGGCACTTGTATAATTTGCAGCTCAAATGATAAAAGGCTCTTACAGGTGGGTGCATCCTCATCTTCCCTGTGCTGTAGATCTGGAGTTGCAGAGTAAGCTCCTTGGATAAATAATTGGCAATTTGAAATGTGCTGGATATAAAGTTGAACACTTATTTAAATATTTTTTAGTTGCCTATAATCCTTTTTTTCAAACCATCAATCACCAGTAAAACACTGTGGAATTATAACATAAAACCTGAAGTCTCAGAATGAAGAACTTCACTTAAATTCAGTATAATGGAACCTTATGTCCAACAAGCATGAAGCCAAACTCCTCACGCTCTGTTTTCTTTTGAATTGCAGCAAGATGTCGAGTGTTATCCAGATGCAGAGAGAGTGTCTGAGGGTCATGAAGGATCTCCAAATGTCTCAGAGCAAACAGAACACTGCCCTCCTGAGTCTGGAGAAGGAAGTGCATGAGCTCCAGGTTCTCCTGCAGCTCCTGATAGCTACACCTGGCTCATGTCAGTATCTCAATCTCAGTAAAAAATGTATAGAGAACAAACTGATGGAGTGCATACACGTAGACAGAGCTTTGACACACACCCTAAATCAAAGGTTTCTACTCCTGGACCTGGATAGCCCTAGTCCAGCAAATTTTAAAGGTAACCATATATATCTCCTATTTCCCTAGTATAATGATGGGGACACTACACTGTAAAAAAGGTGCCTTTCTTTCACATTTCTTTTGCTTTTTTCAGCTGAGACATAAAACCGAGTCGTGACTCTCAGTGGTCATTAAGAATCCCAGGACATTTCTCAAAACGTGTCCTGGCCAAATTTCTCCCAGGCCTTTACCAGTCCTGGCCTCCTAATAATCCCCATCTCATCTATGAACTGGCTTCATCACTCTGTTGTCCTCCCCACTGAGAGCTGATCTGTGATGAGAGTATTGGCACACTTTGGTTGCCGTTGCATCATTCATGTGGGGCTGCACATTGGTGGAGTGCAGGTACACGTTACCTGTAAACCGCTTTGAGTGGGGTGTCCAGAAAAGCACTATAGAAGTGTAAGGAATGATGATGATGATGATGATGATGATGATGATTATTATTATTATTATTTTTATTATGATCATCATCATCACCATCATCTGAAAAGACATGGAATAGTTGAATATGAGCAACTAAGAAAGCAATTGGTTAACTGACATAAGTCCATAATTAAAACATGACTTGCTCTATTGATCTTACTAGTGTTCTCAGTTTTCGATTCAGTCACCTATAAGATCTATAAGATTAGGTCTTCCTAGGGTCAGGAATGGACACCCAATTATATAAAATATTATATAATTTGTAATAATGTGAAATATTTCGTTTTTACCCATGCATGGTTTTCAAAGTGGTACATTGTTCATGGTAAATATACAATATATAAGTATATATATATGTGTTACTAGTGTATAGTGTATAGTGAATAGTGTAGTGTTACTAGTTTATAACATACATTTATATAGCTTATACTTTGACCTTATTTTTAGGTGAAATACTAAGCAAGCAATCCACGTCAATCTCCCAAAATGAGAAGAAAGCATGGAGGGAGAGTACAGCAGAAACAGCACAAAGGTGAAGGGCTCTTCTTTTTAATTCAAATTCAGGAAGCTGTTTTCAATGTTGTCTTGTTGCAACACATCAAGAAGCAGCTTTGGCTCGAAAAGATGTCAAGATGGGCAGCAAGAAAGACCAGTGAAGATACTGTATGTGATCACAGGGTGTTTTTTTTTCAGGCCTCCAGAATTCCCTCTGATGACTGCAGCTAAGAACTTTGAAACTGTGGACATGAGCTTGCAGAATGTGACACAGGAAATAGCTGAACAAATGCAGGGTGTTTATAAAGAACATGCATTTTAGCACAAAGGCTACTTTGAGTTAGCATGATGGGTCTGTAGCCACTGTGCTTTTATGTGTATCTACAGAATTACTTCAAATATATTTCCACATGATTTGTATGTTCTTCTATTAATAAGCTGTCAATCTTTTTTACTTGTGGAAGAATTGAATCACCAAGATCTATACGTACACTTTTGAACTCTTTTATGTTTCATTTTCATTCATTGTTTTTAAATCTTCTGTTTTAAACTGAACTAACTTAAATGTTTTTTATATCACAATGTGCTCACCTGAAATGAAAGAATCTCATGTTCGGCAAAACAACCAAAGCTACAATGTAATAGTTAAATAGTTTAGTAATGGAAGAAGCAAGACTGGACACACAGACTTCTCCTTTGGTGTCTTTTTTTTCTTTTCCACTTAAGAGTGAAGACCATAAGCTTAGTGGCACATCAGCTTGGAATGTATGCCTATTCCATTAAGTACATGACTCTCCCATAAATGGAGTGCTGGATCATCACTTATTTCCTGTGATTTTCCGTGATGGGAAATCAAATGCATAGATCTCCGGGTGTTCAAGGACATGTCTACTATTCTATGCCAGCCCTAGTACAAAAGTCAATTTTTAATTTCAGAATTAAACTGCAACATAAAAATAACACTGGTACAACTTCCAGAGCACCACTCAGTTATAATATACTGTATAACATAACAGCATAGAATTAGATTACTTTATTTGAAATATAGTGCTTAAGATTAAAAGTTACATAGATCAACATTAATGGTAAACATAACCACTTTTACTATTATTAGCTGTCATTCAAAAACTTCACCAAAATGAATCTTCTCCTCTCCAGCATTAATCTGTTTATATAACATCTTTCATAAAATCATGTCAAGTTGTTTTGTAGTAAAACAAATGCATTAACAACAGAGATGCAAATGTAGACATATTTCTAAAGTTAAATGAACAGAAATAAAAGTGGGAAATTAAAAATGAGTTTTAAGACATGATATGGCAGAGCTGACTGACTTGCATGTCCTGAAATTGGCTGAAAGATCATTCCACAGCCGTGAAGCAACAGAATGGAAAGCAAGGTCTCCCAGTATTTGGAGTCTTGTTTTAGGGACTGAGAGAAGGCCAGGGTCCAAAAACTGCAAACTATGTGTGGGTGTCAGCAGAGATAACTGTTCAATAATGCAGTCAGAAGCCAAGCAGTTCAAGAAAATTAAAAAGATTCAGAAAAATAACTGTGGCGGCTTGATAAAAAGATGATGTTACAAGAAAGAAGTTGAATCGAATCACACATTCCTAATATAAAATTAAGGTGTTTTTCTTGGAAGTAAAACATACATAATATAGAATTAATCTGTGTTTTTCTTCAGTTTTGCCTTGTATCAATAATTATTATAAAAAATGGCATACAATTTGCAGTGCAATACACTTTATTAATCCCCTCATAGACATACAATAAAGAACATATAAACTACACAGACATGACAAATTATTTCAGCACATATATATATATAACTCTCATATAACTCTTTCCTTTGAATTTATGCACTTTTACAACATGGAAAGTACAGTAGAGGTCATGTAACCAGTTGCCTTCATGTTTTTTTTTTACTTTTTTATTCAACAACAAATATAAATACATTCAGAGAAAAGGGCGCAAATCAAGAAGGTCCTGATGTCATGAGAAAGTGTCTGAATATACTGTCAGAGCTGCAATACAAAGTTACTTCTCTTCACAAGAACAATTTCTACAAAGGAATGCAACTAAGTGCAATAACATCACATCCATACATTTTGAGAATACATTCTGTGGCTGTAGATAAACTAAAAAATAGCCTGAACAGTAACTTGAGAATCGTTTTGAGATGGAGCAGGTCAGGGCTCAGCTGTACAATCACATCATCAGTTATCCTCTAACTGCTGTATCCAACTCCAGGTGGGAGCCAGAGCCTGTCTCAGCAAGCATGGGGTACACCATGGATGGAACAGCCCATCGCATTGCACACACAGATACAAGCATGTGCACACTCACACCAGAAGCAGAAAGCCTTTGGACAGTGGAAGGAACAAGAACACAGTGAGAACAGACACATTCCACACAGATAGCAGCTCAGTTCCAGAATCAAACCCTGGGGCCCTGTACTGCAAGGCTGCAGGACTAACCAATGTGCCACCCTCATGAACAGTCATGGAGTTGCATATTCTGTGTTTAGCATGGATCAGTTAGCTGTGATACAAGAGAAATTATCCCACACTGGATGCCATCGGGACTAGCCTTCATACTTGTCTAGCTCTCTATACCATATGGTCACTTGTAGGGGACTGATTTAAGGCAAGAAAAACAAGTCATGAGAAGAAGGATGTAAGGCTACAAACTCGGCCCATTTAGCTCAATAATATCGGATCCATCGACTTGCAGTTTGATCATTTTTAATGTTTTAAAGTTTGATAATTGCCCATATTGTTATTGCCCACTCTGAAATTTTATTTTTTACAGAGTTGGAAACTTAATTATTTTTGTATAGTTACTTGGAAATAGTGCTCCAGACTAAAACGTTATATTTATTTCATGCTTTAATGTTGTGGGCTGGGTCTACTCTTTTTTTTTACCTTAAAGGTAGGCAGCTCTGGTTACTTTATAAGTCAGCTGTCACTGCCACCAAGTTCTTGAAACCTGTATGGTATATCTTGATTGAAATTCGGCTATTTACATCCACTTCCGGATCACTCGTGTCGCCTAGTGTAGCTAGCTTCACGCTACTGGTATGTTGTACGTGTCTGTACCTGCTTATATGGAACGGAAGTTCAACGAACGGCTGATTTCCGCTTCCTGTCTTTCGGTTGTGAAGGAAGATGGCGGCTGCCGAGGCTGATGTTGATGCATCACCCCCTCCGAATGGGGAATTTCTTGATTTTTCACCCAGGGATACAGCTTTGGTAGGCGACACTATTATAATGCAACACACGGGGCTTCGATATATCAGGCCTCAGAAAAACGTGAACCTCGTTTTAGCGAGAAATAACGTGATTTCCTTAAGGACTTTCTGTTATGGTTGGGGGCCGTGTTTTTCTTACTGCTGAGGAAAATAACAGCCCCCAAAAGAAAATGTACATTGTCTTGAGTGACAAAACTTGGCATACGCATAGTGGTTAAGAAAGGAGTATTCCCTTTATAAATTCAGCATTGGGTTGTCCGTCTGTGTTTAGTTTCAATGCAGAAACCCATTTTTTCTTACAGATGTTACAATTTGATCAGTAGGTACAGGAGCGTTCGTGTCTCCCGACGTACAAACATAATTATGCAGAAGATAATGTATAAGAAATTACTGTGTATTTAAGAAACATTTGGACAGCGCTTTCATTAGTAGTGTCCGATGCGATTAGGCCATATACAGGGTTTGTCGAGGATGTGTACCTGATTTTTATGATCTAGTTTATTTTCAGTACTTTTCATTCTAAATACGAGGTTGGTTACCTGGAAGTCGAACTTTATATATTTTGACATTTTTTTATTTCCACATAATCGGTGACGGCGTTTGCTTTGTTTTTACTCAGTTTTTTTTTCTAACAGTGACGGTATTTTGACATTTTCCTCACTTTTTAGAATTTTTGACGATTTGCTTAGTTTTTCTGGGTGTAGGTATAGAACCGAATTCCGCCCTCTTACTTTACTTTCACATTTCATACTAATAGTGTTGCCAACTATTTTGTGATATGATGAGTTGCCGATCTTATCTGTGTCAACAGAAGTATCTTTCTGATTTTTGTTGATGTTGCTGACACCTTTCGCTTTGCTTAATTTAGAAATTTCATTTTAGAATAAATCATAATATTAACACCTATGTCTACATCTTTTGATTCACTTGATTAAACTTGGTTTATTTGTCCTTATCTGTGTGTTTGTGCCTTTTGATCTACTTTGGTAGAAGGTTTTCTAATAAGTTATGGCAAAGTAATAAAACCAAATGGCTGCCTATAGAATTATTAATAGTACAGAACAATTTGAAATAGCCTGTTAGCGTTTTTCTTGCATTTTGCAAGTTGGTTTGTCTGGCCTCTTTGGTAAAATTTGGTTTAAAAAAAAAGGTTAGTAAAATGTTGTATTTAACAATACTAGCTTATGATCTGTGCCTGTAGTGCCAGGTTTTGACCGGTGACCCCCAGATTGTCCTTATGAGTAGGTTGTGGTTATGTTAGTCTCTCTGTCATTGTTATACCTCTGCAGAGAAACTAATTTCAATTGAGTGCAAAATAAAGAGTTCCCATTTTAATGTTATTGGTAATGAAATTGAAATCCCTTGACTGTTTATGTGCATTTGGGTTGTCTGCATTCTCTAAAAAATAAAACTAGACTTACAATATTTTTTTCTAAACAACTTTGATTTGGGGATATTGCTGTAGGTCTTTTGTGATGGCAGTCAGTTTAAATACATACTCCTAAGAACACTGTAGTATAACAAAATAAAATCATTATACCAAAACTGCAGAAAGTGAGGATTTTGTATTTTTCTCAAAAGTGTATAATTAACATTATGTTTTTGTAATACTCTGTAAATGCTTTTTGAATTTTGTGGGACTAACCATAACTTAAATATTTGAGTAGGCTCCAGTATTATTGGAAGTTCTTAGTAGCAGTTTTTCTGTCCATTAAATACTGTATAAGATGTCATTCAACATTATTCCGCCTCTAATGACAACATGTGGCTTCTCTGTAGTTTTTATCAGATTGGATTACTATAGAATACAAAAGATCTTATAATTAACACATTAGGAAGAGATACTTTAAGCTGTTCTTACACAGTCAGTTGCCAGTTTGCTGTGCACAACAAAGAATAGCCCAGTGAACACATGGCAGCGGTAGGGATGCAAGCCACAGATCTTCTTATCAGCCCGGATCAGCTGTTTTGGAATATCATGCTTTTTTCTGGTTCTGTACAAATAGTCAAACAGGCACTTCAACGACCTCTTTGTTGGCTGTTTGCCTTTGTTCCTTTATCAAACTGCAATGCAGTAGCTCTTTGGGAAATACACATTTACTTATTTTCCAAATGATTGTTATTTTGTGGTTACTAATCTTGTTTGGTCTGCTGTCAATGACTGCCTCAGTATCACTGATATTCTATTATATACAGAGTCACTGGAGCTTTATGAAGAGCAACAACACAACCTGGAAAAGGCTTTTAAGTTTCCAAAGTTCATAGTCAGTTTTCACATTAATGAAGTAAAGGCCAGCACTTCTTCGTGCCTTCTTTATTTACAAAAGATCTGACAGGAAAAGGCCGACATTGCAGCAGCCACAACTTGCCACTTAAGTACCATGCAGTTTAAGACCAGTGGGTCATCCAGTTGTATCCATGTGAGAATCATTTGTCATTACAGAAATGGCGCCATGCTTCCGACCTTCCAAAAGAGATTTACTGGCACTTGGCCCAGAATGTGCCGAAAATTTACTGCCTTGGCCCAAATTTGAACCCCAAGAGTGAGGACCTCTGGGCTCAGCTGATCCTGCTGGCGCCCCTGGAGTGGTACCTGTGTGACGAGGATCCCACCGTCGGCCTGTCCAAACTGGAGCAAGCCAACAAGCCCTCCCATCTCTGTGGACATGTCTTCAAAGTTGGAGAACCTACATATTCCTGCAGGTATAATATGGCTTAAATACAATCACAGGCCTTATTGGTCAGTCTGCATTCCTAGCATTACAAACTGGACTGAAAGCAGTAGTTAATCAGACCAAACGTAATTGTTGCAGAAGCCGTATGAAATTACTTGATTTGTTGAATGGGCACAAACAGTTTGGTAAGATGTTTATGTAATTATATAAAATCATTTTTAAGATCATGCTTTGTCTTATTTTGAATATTTTGTACAGTTATATACTGTATCTGAAATGCAGTAGCAGTTGAATTTTTGCATTCTTAATTTTGCATTGGTACATTTTTTTTACCATTTTAAAATTTCCTAAAAGTTTGTTCCTAGTATTTGTATAACATATCTAGTGTTTTTAAGAATTCTTAAAAATGGATTAACATTTATTTCCTCCTTTCAGATATATCATGCTTATTTCAAATGGTGCTGACAGAGCAAATTTAATCAAACCTGTGTAAAAATTCTGATAGTAATGAAGTCTGTATGACGATGGCAATAGCTAAGCTGCTGAACAATTCCTAAATATGGCAAGAGATAGTTACAAGATTCAGTTAAAATAGTGATTATTCAAATCTGAGTTTGAATAAAAGTTATAGTTGAGCTGAGTTAAAATTGCTGGGTTTACAGTGACTTTTTAAAAGACACAACAAGAAGAGTTGTCACAGTTATACTGTGGAGCCCTACTTATCAAACTTGTCCACCATTGAGTATTTGTTGGGATGAGCTGATCTGATGTGGCATCTAGGGCTCAGTTACCATTATACCGGTACACGTTTCCAGGCTGTTTAATAGTAATAGAACAGAATCCCAAAAGACACCATCTCCAACCTGGTGGAAAGCATATATTACAAATGCACTGCTTTTGTTTTCTTTCAGTTGTGGTCTTATTCACTACTATGCTATGATTTTCACAGTAAACCTCCTATTGAACAACTTTGTTGATGAAAAATAGTAATCAGCATAATGGATTTAAATATGTAACGTGAGTTCAATAAAGTATCAGTGCAT